GTTAAAAAAAGCTAAACAATAAAAATATATTTATTATTAAAAATAATAAAATAAAAGGCAAAAAATCATTCAATAAAAGGAATTAAATTTTTTAGAAGAAAATAATTAGTAGTTTCCTTTACATGTTTATTGGAGATATTTAGGTCAATAGCTTAAATTCCCATCAATTAAATCAAACCTCACACACAACGTCAAAAGAAAACTCGATTGATATGATCCCGGAGTCCCAGGATTGGGAATGAGCCCCAAGCAGGGCTACCCCCTCAGCGGGGAGTCTGCTTCTCCCTCTGCCCCTCCCCCAGCTTGTGCTCTCTCTCTCTCTCTCTCAAGATAAATAAAATCTTAAAAATAGAGAAATAAACACTAGCAGCAGAGTAGAGGATGTGTTCAAGGAAGGTTTGAGATGAGAAAGAAGGAAGGAAAAAAGCAAAGAAGAAAAACTAGGGCATTAGTAGTAAGCTAAGTGAAGCATTACAAGGGCCTGAATGAAGGTAGTAAACGTGGGAATAGAAACAGATAGATAGGGCAATATTAAAATAGAATGGAAATGCCTTGCAGTAATTTACAGGTGTTGATGGATGAGTATAAGGAAGGCATTGAAGATGATTTCAGGATTCTGGCATGGAAGACTGGATGGATGATGGTGCCATTTACCAATATAACAAATGATGGAGGAAGTTGGGGTGGCAGGTCCACGCAGCAGCAGAGATGAGCTTAGTTTGGGGCATATTGCATTCCATATGGCTGGGAAGATGTCCAGTAAGTAGTTGGCTGTGTCCAGATCTGGACAACAGCGCCAACTGGGGAGGTTGATTTGGCCATATGTGAGAATGCTCTAAGTGGTAATCTTACCCAACTGTTACTAATTTTCCTTTTATTTCCAGTGACTGACATGTATTAAGTGGTCAGTAAATATTTGTTGAATTGATGTTACTGTGGCTGCAGCTTTTATCGGTGGTCTCCTCTGTACATGCTTTGAAAAAAAAAATCATTGCTCAATCTAGTTTTACTCAACAGTAGGCAACTTTGGGCCAGATGTTGCTTGCCTAAGCAGTGTTCAACTCACAAATGGCTTCTTCATGACAGAAGTATTACTTGAGCAGACTGGTATAAAATTGGCTCTAACTTGATTTTCTTAGGTATTTTCCTGGTTCTAAATCAGCCTTCTCAATTGTAACAAAATTGTTTGGAAAAGCCGTGAAGTTTTTCTCCATGTGAGTGGGCTTGGATATGCTATTCACAGTGCTAAAGCTAGCATAATAGCAATTTAAGAAAATCTATTTGTTTATTACCAGCTGATCTATTTTTGGACAGCTCTAACAGCTTGTCTGACTCAAAAGAAATGGTGAGAAAAGTGCCCTAGAGAGTAATACAGTGCGTAAATAATAACAACTAATTTATTCCATTTAATAAGGCCCTAGCATATTATAGGTACTCAGAATGTTGGTTGAATTAAGTGACTGTATATGATACTTAAGAATTTACAAAGTGCTTTCACATATATATATATTTTTTTGATCTTCAGAACCCCATGAGTCAAACCAGGTATTATTCTCATTTTAAATATGAGGAAATTCACATACTCTTAGCAATAATATTTTATGTATCTCTGATTCATCTGCAAACAGAGACAGTTTCTGTTGTCCTCTCTTAGTCTCATTTTTCATACCCTATGTAATCTTCATAATCAGTCCATGAAAGACCTGCCTAATCTGAATTCAACTTGTACCACTTTGAGATGCGCTTGAGTTGACGGTTTCAAGATGGCTTGGCCTGATATTCTTGAATGTGGTGCATCTTGCCTTGCCCTAATAGGGCACTGGTTTATATTCATCACAATGTAGGTTGGTTTACAAGTTAAGGTTAAAAAAATATAATGCATGTCATGTGATTTGAGGACTAACATGTAAGCTGATCCAAGTACATGTCATTGACTCCAGGAATACCTTTTTAAAAGAGTCATTTTCTGTTAGTAAGTTACTAGGTGGTATGTAATACGGGAAGTTGATCTTACCAAAATTTCAGGCCTACGTGGCTTTCTGGTGAGCACATGCACATGTTTACTTTTCCTGACATTTGGCTTCAGTCAGCCTGTTGGTTTTTCACATGGCTCATATTCTTTTTTTTACTCATGTGAATTCCTTCTCTTCTACCTTTAGCACCTTTCTTTAAACTTTGGGATTATGTCCATCCATGGTGATGTTATCTCATCATCCACATTCTTTTGGAAGTGCTTATTTTAGGTCTGTTTTTCCTGTGGTGTGAGGCACTTGGCCCAGGACGGGACTGTTTCCAGAACTTACTTCTTAGGCATGAAGATAGGTCATTCATCTGTGAAGAAATATATCTCGGGGTGCCTGGGTGGCTCAGTCGGTTAAGCGTCTGCCTTTGGCTCAGTTCATGATCTCAGAGTCCTGGGATCGAGTCCCACATCGGGCTCCCTGCTCAGTGGGGAATCTGCTTCTCCCTCCCCCTCTGCCCCTCCCCCTGCTTGTGTGCTCTATCTCAAATAAATAAAAAATAATAATAATAATAAATAATCTTTTAAAAACTATATCTCAGCTTCTTTATTATGTTTACAAAGAAATACTTCACTATTTTTGGTATTTAATTTCATGACAATGGTTGGATTAAGTTTGTTCTGGATGTATTCGATGTTTTAATGCCTGGAGATTTTAGCTTCTCCATCAGGGGCTGTTATGATGATATTTATGGTTTGGAGATACGAAACATTTTTCAAACTGATCAGGCTTCTGGAGAATATGTTTCGATAGGCTCATAAATTGCATTGTTCCCTGTGCATAGTAATGAGTTAGGTATTTAGGAATGGCAAAGTAACTGCTTTAAGTATGAAGAGTAGGAGTTATACAGGCAAGATCATAGTAACACAGTAACACAAAGTGCTTGGTACTGTGTGAGGCACATCAAAATTATTTCTCAAGTTAACAGGGTTATAGAGATAAGACCAAAACGAGGTTGGAACTGCTTAAGCCACTAATATATTTATCAGTGAAGAGCAGTTGTTCCTTTTGGCTACCTCAGGAGCCAAGATTCTTGGTTTATATTAATACTAATATTTTTGAGACCTATTAAAAATTATTGTTGATTCTCAGAGTTCACAATATTCCCTGCTTATTCCTAATCTTCTTGCTTCATTTGTAGAATATAAATGGCATTCGAACAGAGGAGGTGGCTGCCGTGACAAAGGGGCCATCTACCAACCCTGACTCTGAATGGGATGGTCCCAAGCACTCAGTAATTCCTAGTAAGAGCCAAATGACCACCCCGTCGGAGTCTCCACAAAGCTTTGAGTTTGGCTCCCTCTCCATAAGCAGCAAGGAGACAGAAGAGAAGGAGCAGGGGGCAGCTGGCTATCTTGATGTTAAGGAAATGCCAAGAGGCCCAAGTGGGGAATGTATAGGAGTGGAGGAACAGGCCAGTGCCTTAAAGTTCTCAGTATCACCAGCTTCCTCTCAGCTGCAACTTGGTGAAAAAAAGGCAGAGAGTAGTGAAGAATATGTTACACCAGCAGAGCCACTTGGAAAGCAAAATGGATCATTTCATGACTCTCGTGTGGGTAACCAGTTCCCCACCCTCATTCGAAGTTTCCAGGTAGTAACCGATTCAGTGATGCAGATCTAATGACTCACTTTGGGAGAGGGCCAGAATCTGCTCTGTGGAGGAGGTGTGGTGAGGGCAGTCGCCTCTCTGCTTTTTTTGAGAATCACAGAATAAAATCGAAGCCCTTGATTACTACAAATAAATGTTTTCAGAGGAATTAACTCCATGGCTAGAAATGCTTTCTCCCCCGAGGACTTAAAACTCTTGGGGGTAAATTCCAGCTGCTTATCTTTATGAAGCTGATGTGAGTGGGTTCCTCTTTTCCTTGCTTAAGTATGGGCTATATAAAGAGGTGAATTTCTGAGACTTCTGTGATGAAGAGCCATTAGTGTTCTGGGGCCATGCTCAAAAAATTCAAATATTTTTTGTTAAAAGAGACAGCTGATTTTTTTTTTTTTTTTGAGATTTCAGACCCCAAATAATTATTTCTGTACTGCAGCCACATGGTACAGCCCACCACTCCCACTGACCCACTCACAAGGGCTTCCATGCTCATAGGCACTAATCTCCTGTGCTAAGGTGGATGGCCACTTAACTTCATCACAATCAAATGGTAGTTTTAGGGTGATTTATAGTCTTTGGCAAGGTGAGCTGATGGACAAGAAGCCTTTAATATTCCACTAATGTTCATTCTTCTTAAATTCTGAGATTAATCACCAGGTGGTGGTAGAAGTGATGATTTTCTTTCCAGTTTTCCAAATACTGTTCCTTCTCAATAAATCCAAAGTGAATGTCTGACATTGATTTGAAAGAAGTTAATGAATTCCAAGATAAAGTATTCCAATGTCATTGCTATTTCACGTCCCATTTGTAGTTAGTGGAGGAAATGCGACTGATTTTCTTAATTATAATGGCACAGTCACAAGGACAAACAAAAGGGACTGCTGTTTGGCAAACAGTTTTATATTCAAATTCTGAAGGTCAATCTAAAGTGTTTTGTATCACTGATCATAACCGTCTGATCTTAAAGCTTTCCATTAAGTATATGAAAATGATTACAGTAATGCTGTTTTTAAATATCCCTCATGATTTGACACCTTGTCAAGGCTACTTGGAATAGTGTCCAAGTCTTGGGCAGAGACTGAGCTAGCCCTTTGCTTGATTAGAGCTATCACTTTGATCAGATCAATGTCAGAAGATTAGTTCTCCACAGGCTTCTGAAGACTCTGGTAACTCTGTTTCTTTACTGCTTCACAGCCTCCCCTGGTGAAGACTCAGACCGTCACCATCTCAGATACTGCCAACGCTGTGAAAAGTGAAATCCCAACCAAAGATGTCCCTATTGTTCACACTGAGACCAAGACCATCACTTATGAGGCTGCCCAGGTGGGACATGATGTGCTGTTTCAGAAGCAAAGACTAAACACAATAAATAACCTTCATTCTTTAGAGTCTGTAATCATTTGCTGCAGGTAATGCTAGGCTTTTCTGGGGTGATTCTTTTTATTTATTTATTTATTTTTAAAGATTTTATTTATTTGACAGAGAGAGAGAGACAGTGAGAGAGGGAACAGACGCAGGGGGAGTGGGAGAGGGAGAAGCAGGCCCCCCACGGAGCAGGGAGCCCGATACAGGGCTCCATCCCAGGACCCTGGGACCATGACCTGAGCCGAAGGCAGACACTTAACTGACCAAGCCACCCAGGCACCCCTGGGGTAATTCTTTTTAGAAGAGATTACTGATCTAAGGATGTCCCAAAGTATTTCACTAAAAGCAAAATTGTCTCGCATCTGATTGCTTATATCCTCCACCCAATTCAATTAGGGAAGGCGGTCTAGTGTAATGGTTCAGAACATGGGCTTTGGGTCACACAAACCTGAGCTCAGGTTCTGGCTCCTCCACTTACTCCAATTACTACAAGTAATTGAATGTCTCTGAGCCTTGATTGCTGCCCCCCCATCTACCCCCCCACCCCACCCATGATGTTAGTATCTGCCTCATGATTTTATTTTTAAAATTTTTTTTAAAAGATTTTATTTCTTTGAGAGAGAGCGAGCATGAGCAGAGGGAGGGGCAGAGGGAGAAGCAGACTCCCTGCTGAGTAGGGAGCCTGACACAGCTCAATCCCAGGACCCTGGGATCATGACCTGAGCCAAAGGCAGACACTTTAACTGACTGAGCCACCTAGGCACCCCTGCCTCATGATTTTATTATGAAGATTGTATAAGATATGACACTGTATGGACTTGACTTGAGCATCATGCCTGAAAGTGTAAATAAGTAACAGCTACAATATAATTTATGGGGTGCCTGGCTGGCTCAGTTGGAGGAGCATGCAACTCTTGATCCTGGGGTTGTGGGTTCAAGCTCCATGTTCGGTGTAGAGATTACTTAAAAATAAAATCTTTAAAAAAATTATTAAAATTTATTACAATTAAATTTAAAATCACACAAGAATTTAAGTATTTAAAATTTTTGTTTAAAAATTTTATTTACTTTTAGTAAAAATCCTCCTTCATTATTGGTAATTTGAATGAGCTAAGACTTGCTTTATGTTGAATTGTTTTTTTCCTTTCTTTTATTCATAGAAGCCAAAAGTTAGAAAAAGTTTTCCCCCTATAAACTGACAAGCAAATATAAACAGATATTTGTTGAGCATTTATGTATTAGGCCAAAGAAACTAAAATTGAATGAAGAGTTAGACAATGTGAGATTATATGAAAGGTTGTTCGGGGCGCCTGAGTGGCTCAGATGGTTGAGCGTCTGCCTTTGGCTCGGGTCATGATCCCGGGCTTCTGGGATCGAGTCCCGCATCGGGCTCCCTACTGGGTGGGGAGCCTGCTTCTCCCTCTGCCTCTGCCTCTCTCTCTCTCTCTGACTTTCATGAATAAATAAATAAAACATTTAAAAAAAAAAAAAAGAAAGAAAGGTTGTTCCTCTGAGGCTAGCGTAGTCGAGAAAATCCACTCTGAGGAGGCCACATTTGGGCTGAAGCCTGCATGGCAGGAACAAGGCAGCCGTGCGAAGCCCTGGCTGAGTGATTTCACCTAAATCCTTACGGCTGATCCTCACACCATGAACTGGAAGACGATATCCCTTTCAGGAAATGGTGTCACCTTGCCAATTAAGAGCAGGTGCTTTACAATTAGAGTATCCTAACTCAACCACATACTAGCTGGATAACTTTAGACAAATCGCTAATCTCTCTCCCCCTCTGTTTCTTTGGGTGTAAAATGGGGCTAGTATCATCTTCCATTGCAAGATTTGGGGGAGGATTCAGTGAAATGATGTCTGTAGAGTGTTTGGTGCATTCATGGAGCTCACTCACTGTTAGTATGCTTCTCCCATCTCTCTTGGTCTAGAGTGTGGAATTTGGTAAATAATGAGGTTGCTTAGAAGTGTTTTAGCAGTGGTGATAAAGCATCATCATCGAGGCACTGATTTTTGGAAGGTGATTCCTAAGGCTGTGCTGATTTTGTAAAGTAGGGGGATGCTTGGAGACAGGGATATGACTAGAGCAAGTCTGGGGAGATGCTTGTGAAGAACTGAAGTGTAGCTGGAGGAAATGAGAAGAAAGAGCTGTGTCAAGTCAAGAGAGACAGAAATGAATGAATAGGACTTGGCAGTACAGGGGATTGAAGAAGGAAGGAATAGGAAATTACTTTAAGATTGTGCACATCATTAACCAGAGGATGTAAGAATTACTTTCATATGGTAGGAAACTCTTTAAATTGTTACTGCCATGGAAACAATCTAACTAGCCATCAGTAGGGAGCAGGTTAAATAAGTTATGGTATATCCAATTAGTATAATTCTGTGCAGATTTTAAAAAAGCTTCTGATGGGAATAATCTATGTGATAAATTAATAGATAAAAAAGCACAGTGAGGGGCGCCTGGGTGGCTCAGTCAGTCAGGTGTCCAACTCTTGGTTTCAGCTCAGGTCATGATCTCAGGGTCATGAGATCGAGCCCCGCATCAGGCTCTGTGCTCAGAGGGGAGCCTGCTGGAGATTCTTTCCCTCCCTCTCCTTTTGCCCCCCCCTTCTCTCTCAAAAATAAATAAATCGTTAAAAAAAAAAAAGCATGGTGGAATATGGTGTAATAATATGCTGTTTATAGGAGGGAAAGAGGAGGCTTGTATATGAATATATTATCTCCGAATGGGTACTCAAAAAGAAAACCCAAAAAGCGGTGGTGGCCTCTGATGAAGGGGACTGGGGCTATAGGACTGTGGTCAGGAGTGGGAGGGAGACTGACATTTCACCATATTCTGTTTTGAAATGAATTCTGTAGCATATGCATGAAAGTTGTTAGGACCAGGCTGCCCACAGAAGCCCACATGGTTTGAGTGTAGCCCCTTAAAAAAGGGAAAAGGGAGCAGTCATTCTAAAATATACTCACGTGTAAGAGAAGTGGAGAGGCAGCTTGATGTGCTGGGTAAAGCATGTGGACTTTGGAGTTAGACTTGGATCTTAATTCCAACACTTGCTAGGTTTGTGACCTTTGGCAAGTCACTTAAACTCTTTGAGCCTTAGTTTTCTCTTCTGAAAAATAACTTTGTAAGGTTATTAAAAGAAAGATAATATTTGCCTGGCATATGGTAGGTAATAAAAAATAGTAGCAATGACTATATTATATTGTTACGTATCTATCTTTATTTCATTTTAACCAGGCTTGAGACAGTCAACCAAAATACACATGACTTCTTATTCATGCTAGACAGTGGCGCATAGTGGGGAAAGTACTAACTTTGGAATAAAATTTCCTGGGTTCGAACGTGCTCCATCACTTACTGATGTGCGGTCAGGTTAATCACTCCGTGCCTCATTTTCCTCATTTGTAAAATGGGGCTAATAATAGTTCCACCTTATAGGGTTGTTGCAAGGAATAAATTAATGTGCATTTCAAATTAAGTTGTCACCACCATGGAAACAATCTAAATGTCCATCAATAGCGAACAAATTAAATAAATGGTGGTACATCCAATTAAGGTAATTCCATACAGCTATGAAAAGCCTCTGATGGGTATATGATAAACTGGTAAACAAAAAAGCATAGCGCAATATGGTGTGAGTGATATCTAAAAAAATGTGCCTGGCACATAATAAACACCAGATAATTATTTGCTATTGTTATTTATGTATGATAACTATTTCTGCTTCTGTTTTTATTATCTTGCCAAACAGGTTAGCCCAGGTACCTTTTTTTTTTTTAATTTTACAATTCCCACACTTTGGGGAACATGGTGAGAGGAGGTGGGGAGCCAAAATAGGATTTTACTGTTTGTGTATATGTGCGTGTGTGCATGCTTGAGGTAAAGCCTACCTATATAAAGGGAAGTGTACAGTTTTTAAGTGTTCCATTTGATTGATTTTTTTTAAATGATGCTTACTTTTTTTTTAAGATTTTATTTATTTATTTGACAGAGAGAAAGAAAGAGAGAGAGAGAGCACAAGCAGGAGGAGCGGCAGGCAGAGGGGGAGGGAGAAGCAGGCTCCCCGCTGAGCAGGGAGCCCGACGTGGGCCTCGATCCCAGGACTCTGGGATCACGACCTGAGCCAAAGGCAGACGCTTAACTGACTGAGCCACCCAGACGCCCCCATTTGATTGATCTTGACAAATATAAATACCTGTGTCACCAAGACACATTTGGGATACAGAACACTTCCACTGCTCTTGAAACTTTCTTCATAGCCTATTCTAGTTATTCCCTGCACCTCGAGGCAGCCACTACTTTGATTTCCATAACCATAGCTTAGTTTTGCCTGTTCTTGGACTCCATATAAATGGAAGTATCCAGTAGTACAACTTTAGTGTCTGAACATGTTTGTTTAGGTTCGTCAAAGTTATAAGAATCTGTAGTTTACTGTTTTTTATTGTTGAATAGTGTCCCGTTGTACGAGTGTACCACGATTTGTTTATCCTTTCCTTTGTTGATGGACATTTGAGTTGATTCCAGTTTGGAGCAAATGTGAATAAAGCTTCTGGGAACATTCATGTGCAAGTCATTGTGTAGACATATGTTTGCACTTATCTTGGGTAAACACCTAAGAGTGGAATTGCTGGATCATAGGATAAATGGATGTTTAACTTTATAAACAACTCTCAAAGCCGCAGCACCATTTTGAGGAAACATTGGTTACAGGGTCAAAGAAGAGAGTCCACGTGTAGGAAGAGTGTAAGTCAGAAATCATACAATGTCTCCTCCATCTTCCACTTCTTCAGAGACAGAAAGCAGGGAGGAAGGGAGTCGCTGGGAGGTAGGAGAATACTATAGAGTCACCGATTTAGTGGAGGTAGAGCTCTTCAAAAAAGTTTAACCCTCCTGGCACATAAATTTATATTCTTATAACAATGTAGAAAGTACTTTTACTTCTACAATCTCTTTAGATCTTTACAACCATGCCACGGTGGGGGCAGAGCTGTGTTAAGTACTGCCTGTTACGAATGAGAAAACTAAAGCTCAGAGACATCAGAATGACTTGCCCGAGATCCCATCGCTAGTTACATCTGAGCTGGGACCCAGACCTCAGTCTGCAGATGAGAAGTTTCTTGCCCTAAGTTCCAGTTCAAACATTGATTAGCTATAGAACCTTGACAAAATTATTTAACTTCTCTGGACCAACTATACAGTGAGGATAATAATAGTACCCACTTCAGATATTGGGAGGTGGAATTGAGGTAACAATTGCATCCTGTGCTTGGCACATAGTAGGAGTACAATAAATGTTCTTTGAGTTTGAATCTAAGGTAGGTAGGTGGGTCTGAGCCGAAGAAAGCATTAGGGTAAGATTTCAGTATCACAGTCATGTCCCCTCTCTTCGTTTGGTCTAGATTTTTACCTGGAAGGGAACTAACTCAGCCAGAGACTCTTCTTCCTAATTCTCTTCTGCTCCTCCTATCTCCCACCCCCCATATCTCAATGTTTTGCCTCAGTGAAATGTGGTTCTCCTCAGAAAAAGGTTGGAGGCCTCTGCGTATAATACAGATGACTTCTATAAAGAGGGCAGGAAAAGATAGTAACGTAACACTTTTTTTTACTGCAGGGTTCTTTTTGAAAAGAATTGCAATCCTCTAAATTTTTTCTGAGCCTGTGTGCAATCCCAGAACCAACTGGTCGTTATTTTCTGGACAGCGTGTTGGCTCTGGGCAGCCCGCATCCTCCTAGTCTCCTCCGTTTCCCTCCCAGTCACAGGACTGTCAGCAGTTCTGAGTCCTGCTACCAGCCCAGTGGCTACTGATAACCATCTCTCTTCCTTTTTGCTAGTGTCCTTTCTCAGCCTGATCATAATACATTTGTTTTGGTCATAATATGGCGAGCTCTAGAGAAACAAGAAGTCGCCCCAGCCCTGTTCTCTGCATAGATTAGTTGCATAGCCCAGCATTCTAAATACTTTTAAACCCTCCCTAATCAGGATGGTCCATTTCAATAATAGTTTTGTTGTCAGAAATGTCATTGAGATATCATGTAGGTTTCCTCCCATGGTGTTGTCTTAAAGGGACATTTCCTGTCTCCTTGCTTCCAGGCTCCCATCTCAGTCTTCAAAGAAGATAGCCTGAGATTCCCTGGCCCCTTGAACCCTGGCAAGGACCTTTCCCAGTCCTTTCTGGAAAGTTCTGCCCTATGATTCAGAACCTACCCACGCCTTAGCACACAAGAGCTTATACTTTTCCTGCCTTGGGTGATATGTAAAGAGCTTCCAGTTTGTGGAGAGGACAACTTCCACTTACAAGTTTTGAGTCCTTGAGCAAATCATCCGCCTTCTCTGGGCCTGGGTTTTCTTACCTGGGAGTGCTAATCAGTCTCTGCCTTTACTGTTTATTTCACAGGGCTTGTGTGGGCATCAAAAGACAATGTTTTGAAAGCCCTTTGTGAACTCTGAAATGTTGTACACACGTGTGCAGTCATTGCCGTTTCTTTTGGACCTCTGGCTGTAATCCTGCCTCCTCTTCCTGACCCGCTCCTGTCACTGACCCCGTGCTAGGGAAACTGACCCATCCAGCGTTCTTAGAAGGAGCCTTGCTGCCGGGGGATTGTTTTCTTTATGAAGCGATCACTGTAAGGGAAGCGGGTTTTTGCTTTTGAATGTACAGCTGAAGAGCAAAGCTGCCTCCTGCCACATTTGCCCACAGGGCTTCCTGAGAGGCATGATGATGAGTTGCGTTTTTTTCTGCAGACCGATGACAGCAATGGGGACTTGGACCCGGGAGTCTTGCTGACAGCTCAGACCATCACATCTGAGACGACAAGCAGCACAACCACAACTCAGATTACCAAGGTAACAAACCAGTTAGAACTTCCTTCTGGAATTCAGTGGCATGCCAAGCTTGCTGCCTCTCTCTGCAAGAAGGACCCTGGTCTAGAAGCAAGGGTTTTCAGCTCCATCCCTACTGAGCCAAATGAATCCACGTGTCACAGGGGGAAAGACTCTGCTGCTTCCCCAGCAGTAAAGCTAGGGGGACCCTGAGGGCACCCTTGCCTAGTCAGTAGTCTCATAAAGTCACCTGTGGCCGTTCTCTTTACACATCCACCTGTCTCCCTGGTCACTCCCCTGTCTGGCTGTGGAGGTGAGTTTAAAAAGTCAGTTTAAGGACAGGTGTCGTTGGTATTATTGTGCAACCATATTTTCCAAGTAAAAAATTAGAACTCAGGGCCCAACAAAAAGTTTTTATATCACGTCCAGCATCAAGGCCATGGGAACTATAGTTTGCATGTTGAAATATTGGAATTATTAAAATATTGTTTATGGGGGCGAGCAGGAAAAATTATCTAAAATTGGAACTACTCCCTGAAAATCAGAGACAGTCCATGTTTGCTGCAGCACTAGAGGGAAATATATTTGCTTGTAAGTAAGAAATCTAGATTTCTGACCAAGCTCTGTTATCGAAACAGATGACTGGAAGCTAGTTTCTTAATGTGTCTAGACCTTGGTTATCCTCATCTGTCAATTAGGGAAACCTACCCACCCTGAGGGGATTACTTGAGGATCTTTTGATCTCAGTGATATGAAAGTGCTTGAAAATAAAGAGCCCAGTTTCAAGCTGCGTGACATTTTTGGTCATAGTCTTCTGAGTTTCCTCTTGAAAATAATCAAAATGTACAGGAAAAGAGCAGAAAGAAACACCTGTCTGTCTTGTTTACTCACTGAATTTCTGTGATGTTTGGGAGGAAGAAAAAGGGAATAATAAATGGAGATTTGTGACTTTCCATTTTGCTTGTTAAAGATTTTAGCAATCCATGGGAATAGAGGTGTGCTCATTTTAGCAGGTGTAGCCAAGAGTTTGGACAAGTGGGTAAGAAAGCTATTCTAGACAGTACCCAGCAGCAGATGAAATTTTGGAGTAGAGCTTTCAGAAAAATCTTTTACTGTTTTTTTTCCCCCCCTTCCTTCTTTCTTTCTCATGTGACCACCTCTCTTTGGTTTCAGACTGTAAAAGGTGGGATTTCAGAGACCCGGATTGAGAAGAGAATTGTGATCACAGGAGATGCCGATATTGACCATGATCAGGTGAGACTGCTGAGGAGATTCTGGGCATGGAAGAGGTCCCTGGGCGGGAAGATGGATGGATACAGGAGTTGGCTTTCAGAAGACACCTCTGCCATCTTCATCCCCAGGGACACCCTGGGCTACTCTAGCGCCTAAATGAGAAGAATGAAGGGAATCAGACCACGGAGGCCTGTGGGATGGGGCCTGCAGGTGGGGGGAGCGTGAAGTGTAATAGAAAGAACATGGGCCTTAGACTCAAAAGGCTTGGGTTCACATCCTAGGTCTCCCCATATTCTAGCTCTTAACTTCCTAGGCCTCTGTTTCCCCATCTTTAAGATGGGCGTTATGGCAACTTCCCCTCGAGATGGTTGTGAGAGTCATGGGATACGGGATATATGGTGTGAGGTACATGGTAGGCTCTGGGTGGGTGGAGCTGTTCTGTTCAGGGGATAGTGTGTACCTCAACCTGTGCTGGAGACAGAAGAAGATAGCAAGACAGAAGGAAGGGGGTGATCCTTGTCCGCAGAGGGCTGTAGTGGCCCTCGGGGCGAGGGAAGCAGAGTGAGGTGGACTGCCTGCGAACAGGAGCCTTGACTTCAAGTCTGTCCTACATCTGTCGCTAGCTTACTGTGTGACCTTGGGCAAACCACGCTACCTCGGAGTCTTTTTTGTCTCCTAAAAGAGAGTAGGTTGATCTAGATAATTTCTGGGCCCTTCTGAGCACTCAAACTCTCTGTTTCTATATTAATTAAGGTGCTAATTGTGTGCTGCAAGCAATTAGCAAATAATAAGGTCAGGATTAATGCTCCCAGTTCTCTGCTGGGTGAGGTTAGAACAGTAAAGCTGCAGAGAAGAGGGGGTGGAGGGACTGCATGCAAATGCTTCTGGAATCACTGACAGCAGTGCTGGAGCAATAATTCCGTGGCCTTTATGCTGATACGTTGAGTGCCTAAAAAAAAAAAAAAGGAATCCTGAGCCGCACTGATGGCAGTTCCCTTGGTAGCAGGGTTGAGACTCCCAGCTGAGAACTCAGGCTCAGGGTCCCAGCAACAAGGCTGCAAAGCCCAAGTGCAGCCTGTTAGCCCCCAGCTAAGTAGATCCTGCTACGCTACCAGCCTGCACCCACCTCCTTGGTCTGGTTGATTTGAGCCCCAGCTGTGTGCCCAATCGGTGCTGGACAGCAAGAGCCATGGGACCGGAAGGTGTTTGGGTTTGGAGTAAGACAGCCTTGGGTTGACTTTTGATGCCGCAACTTATTGGTTGTGTGCCCTGGAGCAAGTTATTTTACTTCTCTGAGCTGTAGTTTTGCCACTTGTAAAATTAAGATAATCATAGGTTTCTTTCAGGGTGGTTGTGACAAACACACTTGATAGCTCAGAGAGATGCGCCTATGTCCCTCAGTTCTCCTGGGTATGAGGACTACATGGAAGGGCTAAGAGGTGGCATACTGTGGATGGGTGGAGAGGCACTTAAGCAAGAAGTCGTGTGGTGCAGGCTTTCATTGAGAGATCGGTGTAGGCCAGAGTAATCAAAGAGAGGGCTTGGGCTGGGCCTTGACCCATGAGCAGGTGGGGTGGGCAAAAAGGATCAGGGACAATGACCAGGGGCCTATAGAGGTGGCACTTCTAAGAATGGCTTTCATGGAGTCAAGAGACCAAAAGAGGAATTTCCCTACTAGAAGTAGTTCTTTAGAGCCAAGGTCAACAGTCAGGTGGTCAGATCTAGCTAGAATCCCCATGTCACCATTCCCAAAGGCTCTTCCACCTTGGTGCTGTGAGCTTGAGGCTCAGAGACTTGCCGCACAATGAGAGAAGTGGCGTCATCGCTCTCACTTTCCCTCGGCATCATTTAGCTTTTCTAAAATGATCGAAACTCCTCCAGATGCTAATAAAGGGGCTCCCCGAAACTAAAGGACAGTGTAGTGAAAAAGAAAGCCTTATAGATTTAAGTTAAAATCCCTGCTGCATTACTTACTAGCTGTGAAACATTAACCACTTTATTTACCCACTGAACCTCAGTTTCCTTGTCTATAAAATGGAAACAATAAAGGGTGCCTGGCTGGCTCAGTTGGTGGAGCCCCCGTTTCTTCATCTCGGGGTCATGAGTTTGAGCCCCACATTGCAAGCAGAGCTTACTTTAAAAAACAAATGGAAACAGTGCTACTACCCTAATTCATCAGTTATTCTGAAGAGGTGGCTCAGTTGGTTAAGCGTCTGCCTTCAGCTCAGGTCATGATCCCAGGGTCTTGGGATGGAGTCCCGCATCGGGCTCCCTGCTCACTGGAGAGCCTGCTTCTCCCTCTCCCTTGGCTGCTCCCCCGGCTTGTGCTCTCTGTCAAATAAGTAAGTAAAATCTTTAAAAATAAAATGAAAAAATGAAGATTAAGTATACAATAATAATAATGTGCTTAGGCCAGTGCACGGCATGTAATAGGCCGTCCCACTCTTCCTCCTTACTTCCCTCTCCCTTAGCCAAAGAGATCTCTTCCTTTTTGTAGCATGCTTCTTTAGTTCCCTCTTCTTTTCTGAACTTCCCGGTGACCCTACGTTGAACACAGATTTTGTTTTGTCCTTCAGGCTCACTTCTTGAGTGAATCCTCCCAGGCCCACCCAGAAGATACAGCTATCACCCCTGAAGTCCCTTTATGATTCCTTAAAGACAACTCTAGCCTTCCCGGTCTCTGTGTTTTCAGTCCAAGAGCTTCCCTCTGCAGGATAGGGGAAGGAAGTCTGTTATCAACTCGCTTAGCCTAAATGCTGCCCTGGTACTGCGGACAGAAAGACTGAATTTGCCAGAGAAATGATAACCTGAGACCCCTGCCTTCCTTCACCAGTCAGGCTGCTGTCTGCCTCACGGGCATGGTTTCTTTCTTTCTCAGGTCCTTGTACAGGCCATCAAGGAGGCAAAGGAGCAGCACCCAGACATGTCAGTGACCAAGGTGGTCGTCCATCAGGAGACTGAAATCTCTGAGGAATGAGCTCAGGTAAGGGCTATTCTTGGTGGGGGGAGGGTGTTCACTGTCCCAGCCTCAGAGAGCCCTGAACAGGAACAGCCCCTGAGGTGTCCACACTGGGACTTACCTAAGTAAAGGCTCTTTGCTGTCACAGCTATCTCTTGAGTCCAAACCTGAGAGGGCCAGAGGAGAACAAAACCAAGAAAAGCAGAACCTAGTGGTCTAGAAATGAGGGCTCGGGGCATAGAGGAGAGAGGGCTGAAGCTCGGAGGCCAGACTCGAGAATTGGAAGCGGGCAGCTGCTTCTGGGGAGCCAGGAATCCAGATAAATTTACGCCTAGAAGTTTACAAGTGACTCAAAGAAGCCATCAATCACCAGAGGGGACTGGGCTCCTCAGTAAAACTGCTCAGGGCCGGCTTGGCACCTGGGACCACAAGAACTTGGCACTGGGACTGGTGGCTGTCTCCCTTTGCAGGATTTAAAAAGTTTGCTTTCTTTCCTCTTAGGACCTATCCTACCCCAACTCCCGGCCTGTCTCCCATCCAAGAGAAAACCAGCAAAATGATAAAGAAGCTTACCTGCAATAGTCAAGACATCAGGCTTTCAAAATTACTCTAAACCACCAGAATATTAATTTCGTTTTCTATTTGGAGTTTATACCGAGAGAGTCTTCTAGACATTGCTGATTCTTTTAATACCTTTTTCTATATTGTGATACCAGAAATTGTTCAACTTTTCACTCTATGGACTGTTTTTAAAGAGCTTTTTGTTTTTTTATGCGGTGGTTTGTAACCCCTTCAACCTAGTCTCTCCCCATTTATTTCCAACCCAGATACTGACAGGTCTACAGAATTCTTGAGGAAATCCTCCAGAGACTCTGTCAGCTGTGTTGGGGGCCAAAGCCAGCTTAATGGGGCTTCCCTGCTCCTCCCCTAGTTTTATACCCTTTCGATGTCAGCAGAAACTTCATGAACCAGCCTTTTCTCAGAGCCAATGATCTGACTTTACCAAGTGAGGCAGGGCACCTGTCCTGATCCACAGACCCCAGGGAGACATCCCTGTCCTTCTGTTGAGGGTGGTTTTGGTGAGGCAGAGATCTCTGCTAAGAATGTAGTATTGTTTTTCCTTCTTTCCTCCTGTTCTTTCTTTTTGGAGCTTCGTTAGATCAAAGACATAAGAAGTTGTTTCAGATATATCTGATACTGTGAATGTTTGAACAAATCTGTGGCCTTCACCTTCCTGCCCTCCCTCCCCTTTTACCTCATCAGAAGCAGTGGCTCTGCTAAGTTCTCCCCCCACCTCCCATCTCAGGAGACCGAAACTCACACAAAAATAGGCACTTTTGGCCAAAAGCTCTAATGGCACATTTTTAGTAGTGATTTGGGCAAGGGAAGTTGATGAAGTTTAAAAAAAAAAAAAAAAGGTTTTCTAGTTCTGGGAATGTGCACTTCACACAGGGAATGGCAGAGTTTACCTCAGTCAGATCCCACTAAGAAGTGTTTCCAGGTGACTGACCCTGGGCCTTTTTCTTTAATCGTGGGATGACCGGAAATGTGACTCAGAGAGGAGGTTGTGTTCCTTGACCCTTCTTCTCCTGACCAGTACCTGCCTGCAGACACTCTCCTGGAGCAACGGAATTGACTTTTAGGCGCCATCCTTCCCACAAAACCCCACACGACAGGGAGCACAAACACCAGCTCTCATTCCCACTCACCATCTGAGGTCTGTCGGGTGTTGTAGGCTTGATTTTTGTGGTGGGTTGTGGGTTTATTTTACTTCTAATTTTTTTTTTTGCTTGGTTTTGAAAATGGGACTGACTGATGAGCCCAATTCCACCATTCCTGGTAGATCTGGGGGCATTTTTATTCAATAGTGCTTCTCTCATCTTCCAGCTGGCTTCCCACAAACACATCTGCCTGGAAGTTCTTAGAATCGTATGGTGGGACAGAGGTGGACTTCATGAGAATAGACGGTGGGTCACAGCAGTCTCGGGGGCTCAAGAGCCGTGAGCGAAAGAGAAAAGTCTAAAACCTCTGCTCCCCATAGTGGGAGCCAGCCGCATGTGTCCAAAGCCTCGACTGGCTGAGTCTTGTTTTAGACAAACTCAGTTGGTTTGAACTGATTTCAGATGTGTGCATTTTTCGTTTAGTACTTCTGTGAGCCTGCTACTAACCACGAGGCAGCTCTCTCTGGAGAGGGACAGGAAGAGCTCAGGTGGGACGCGTGACAGGCCTGGGGGAAAGGATCATCCTGTCTCAGGAGCAGACTTCCGGCCTGTGGGCATAGGGTCGGAAATGGTGGGGCTTGCTTGTTGGTGCCTAAGCCTGAGCCGTGCTGCCAGGAGTGGTGGTGAGGTTGGGAATCCAGCTCACATCAAACAGCATGTAATGGGAGCTCGCTTTCCAGTGGCCAGTTGTCCTGCTGAGAGACCTACCAGCCAGCTCCCACAGTGGACAGCTGTGGAATGAAGAGGGTGGGGGTGAGGAAGCGGGCACAGCGTGAGCGTCACAAACCGGGCCCACTGAGTTCTCGCTGTCCACACCGCTGACGGGGGCCTGCACGCCCCCTTGGCTCTGTCACCAGCTCACCGTGCTGCTCTCTGCTTCCTTCACTCTAAGTTGGGCCAGAAGATCTCAAATGCCCTTTCAGCACTGAGAAGCCACAGATTTGGACAAGCTAGGAAGAGGGTGTCCTTCCAAGACTCTTCCCCTGTCCTCCCGCTCTGGGAACAGATCTGGGGGTTTGACAACTGTTTGGATTTTTTTTTCTTCCTGCAGTTGTGTGTGCATTTGTGTGTGTGTGTGTGTGTGTGAAGAAAAACAGATTCTGTGCAGGTGGAAATGGTGAAGAGGGGAGGAGAGAGCTTCATTTCCAGGGTCAGAGACTTGGCAGCCGTTTTCCTGAAGTGACTCAGACACACCACAGTGACAACTCTCACTGCAATTTTATTTTTATTTCACTTGAGAAGTAAAGACTTCCTCCAAGCTACACGAGGTCTCTGCCACCCACCCACCCACCCGCCCGCCCACCAAGCAGGACCTGAAAAGCTAAGGGCCCACAGAACCTGGGTGCAGGGACCTCTTGGGGCCTCCTCACCCGCCTGCCCAGGCCCCCCCATCGCATATTCTGCAAGGCAGCTGAGCGGGAGGGGCCCCGACCGCCCTAGGGAGTAGAACCAGAGCTATGGCCTGACTGACACCAAGGAATGCTCGTGGGAAAGATCTGCCCAGGATCTCAGCCCCAGGCTGGTGGTTTTTGCAAATCTCTCTGAAATGTATTATTTTGGTGACAAAAATGAAGGAGCTTTGTAAATTTTTTTAAAATTATGAATCATGTCAAGTAGTTGTTTACATTTCTTGACAAAATAGGAACTATGGCAGCAGAATCAAATTGGCAAGATCCTTAGATTAAAAAGGCAATAATTAGGTCTGCTGTTTTGGCCTTTTGTAGTAAGAGAAATGGTGTAGTGTTTAGATAATGTGTTTGGTCTTGCTTCTTGTATTGCATTTTTCAATAAACTAAACAAACAAAAAAACCCCAAAAAACCAGGACTGAATCTGAGAATTGATCAACTTTTAAAGTTCTCTTCTCCTACCAGCAATCTGGGAAAAGTTCCACATGGGTAAGGGAGACTCAAATTTTTGACCCTAGAAAAGACTCTTTTCTAAATTAAGCTACCCACATTGGCCAAAATGCAGCTTCAACGCTGTATAAAAGGAGAACTGGCAGATGCTTTTTGCCAGTTGGGGGAGATTTTGCAGCACAGGCCATGACAAAGGAGAGAAGGGGGCTTCTCAGACCTGTTCAGGAAGGGGCTGGACCCTCCGGAGGAAGGCTTCTTTGGCAGTAGTGCAGCCCTAGGGGGTGTACCCTGCATGGCTGAGGGCAGAGAGGGGCTGAGGGGGTGGGAGTTAATGCCCCAGTCTCCATCCCAATGGCAGTGGAGGGTCTTAACTCTACCGCGTTGCCCATCTCCCCTAACCCCACAACTGGTGCTACCGTGGAGGGAGCCTGGCCCAGCCTGTAACATCCCAACCTACCTTCCAAGTCTTAGGGGTCCTTGCCCACCACTTTGGATCTGCCGAGACACCTGCTGCATCTCCCAATCACCCTGACCTGGACCTCCAGCTGCCTCAGGTACTGTCCAAGGCTAAGGCCACTCTTGGAGGCTTAAAGAGTTCCCGAGGCCGAGTCATGCTGGTCTCCAGACTCCACATGAAAACATTCTCTCCAGCTGATTGAACCCTTGTGCAGTTGGCATTTCTCTGCCGACATGCAAGTGAGGATGCCTTAGCAGCTGCTGGGGCCAGAGCATCCATCTCCGGTCTGGGAAGTGACTGATGCATCTACTAGACATTGGGACTTCTGGTCCTGTTACCACGGTCCATGCTGCAGCCCTCTAGCAGGCTGTCCCCTGCTCTTCAAACCCGCGCTCCCAAGTCCCCTCCTCCTTCCAACTTGGCATAACCCCCCAGACTGAGGCGGTCCAGCCGTGGCCAGCTCCGGTGAGCACAGTCTCGAGCCGCTGGGGCCCCAAGCAGGAGCTCCCCGAGGCCCAGATCCAGAGACTTGGAATGTTCAATGCAGGAACCAGACGGCTGCACGGTGATAATCACATGGCCAGTCTGGGTCCGTGGACCCCAGGGTGGGGGCAGCCCCGGGCCCTTCAGCGGGTAACTGTTGAGCAGGGCAGGTAACCCCAAGCGAGGATTAGCAGGCTCTGAACGCAGACTCCGCACTGATGGGACGGGTGAGGTACCCCGACGCGGGGACAGGTCCCAACTTTCTGGCTCTGTGCAGCCTATGGCTCCGGGAGTCCTGGGTCCGGGGCTGGGGAGGAGGGCACAGTCCCAGCCGGGGCCGTCAGGGGGCCGGAGCGCCTGAGCCCGCAGCACCCCCTGGCGAAGCCGTCGCGTCTCCAGGTCGCGGTTCTCGTAGAGCAGCGTGTTGGCGCAGATGAACACGAACAGGCCGACGCCCATGACCACGGGCCCAAGGAGCCGCAGCCGCTCGTGCGGGCCGTGCCCGCGGCCCGCGCCGCGCCCCTCGCGTCGCAGCTCGCTC